AAAAAAAACGACGAGAAAATATAAAGAAACTAGCGAGCGTAATGAAAACCGCTTTACATTTACTATGACCTTTGTGTTCTGTTTGTCTGAGTCATGCGGGGGGTCCGATCTCGTGACATCTATTTTTAGTATAACCGCGCTGCGCTATTGCAGCTCGAGTCATCGTGGTAAATTATAACGAGAGTCTTTTAGAAGCCAAAACCAGGCTAAACCAACATGCTTTACCTATTGTAGTCAATGCGTCTCTTTTTGTAGAAATACAGAATACTTTTCTTTACTTTGCATAGTGAATTGCAGCTCGAGTCATCGTGGTAAATTGTAACGAGAGTCTTAGAAGCCGTAACCAGGCTAAACCAACATGTTGTAGTCACATCTCTTTTGGCATAAATACAGAATACTTTTCTTTACTTTTGTTTTGAAGTTCAACTTGTGCTATTCTCTCGACTATGMAGTATTCATCACTACAAACATATTTTTTTCTTTCACTAAGCAATAAAAGGCAAATCTAATAAATTATATAGAACACTAAAAAACAGTTTTAATCATTTAAAAATATATATAATGCTGTCTCATAAAGACTCACAGACCGGAGTCGAAAATTTGCTGTCCGAACAATTTAGATCTTGTATTAATTCATGTTGCTTGAAAAACATATTGAGTTAAGATTTCGTATCACTTTGTTTGTAGTTTTATTTTGGGCCATTTCTATAGCCAAGCTTTCGTCCATATTGGCCTTCTTCAGGGCAACATTAAATAACTTATAACTTACAACTCACTTGTAATATGAATTAAGATATAAAATGAAGATATCAAATAAAAAATATGAACTAAAACCGAAAACTGAAGCTGAGCGAGCTGAGTTTGAAAGCTTGACAATAAAATAAATTCTAATTTATAAATATAGTTGGTACAAAATCTTAACTCAAATGCATCTTGTACGTACACAAGAATACCCTTGTAAATGTTAATTGTTTTAAGAGAGAATTCTTTTCGTATTAGAGCAGTGAACGCCAAAAACTATTTTCTTGAAGAAAGGCTGTTGTACAAGGCTAAAATCTTGTTATTCAGAAAGTTTAACTTGTTTGGAAGTGGAGATGACCGATGAAAGTGGAATCAAAGTGTTAACCCACTAAGCAAAAATTTTATTCGAAAATGAGGTTTAGGCCTTCATTTGCTTATTTCCCATATATTTTCTACAAAAAAGCCTAACAAAGCAAGATTCTAAYACAAATGCAACAAAACATCTTTGTACAATTGAAAATACCGCTTACAGGCATTTTATCATAGTACATCAGTTTCTAACTGTTTAAAAAAGGTTTTGATGAGTGTTAACCCAAAACGAAAATTGGGATCCAAACTCATACGAAAGTCTAGTTTTTGGCGCTTGTTGCCATTATTGCTCATTATTGAAAAAAATTTCCCCTTAAAGAATAAATTAATTGCTAGAATGTTTCCCTAAATTCAAATGTTACCTAAAATATAACTAACTTGACTCAGTAACTCTGTATTTAGGATACGATGAAAACTCGTCGTCAATATTTTGTAGTTTTGTAAGAGTATTTTGAGAAGGTCCAAAGAGAGGAGTGAGGACTAGTGTCGTTGATGATCCGTGTGAAGCGTTTTCTTATCGACAGCGTGTGGCGAATGGCATTCTGGTAAAAGAAATAGACAAGTATATTTAAAAAGGGGAATTTCAATAGTCAAAGTAGTGGTAGTGGTAGTGGTAGTGGTAGTGGTAGTGGTAGTGGTAGTGGTAGTGGTAGTGGTAGTGGTAGTGGTAGTGGTAGACCAGTGGTAGTGGCAGTAACAGTGGTGGTGGAAGTGGAAGTTGTAGTGGTGGGTAGTGTTAGTGCATGGGTGGTGGTAGTGATGGTGAAGGTGGTGGTGGTGGTGGTGGTGGTAGTGGTAGTGCAAGTGGTGATGATAGTGGTAGTAGTTATGGTGGTAGTGGTGTATTGGTAGTGGCTATGTTGATGGTGGTTGTAAAATACAATTATTTAACATGAAGTTTGTGTGATGAGTTGTTCTCTCCCTTGCCACGAGGGTTTTACTCCAGGTTCTCTGGTTTTCCTCCCTCCATAAAAATCAACATGTGAGTTGAGTTTGTTTGATGTGTTGTTCTCTTTCTTACCACGAGGGTTTTACTCCAGGTTCTCTGGTTTTCCTCCCTCCATAAAAATCAACATGTGAGTTGAGTTTGTTTGATGTGTTGTTCTCTCCCTTGCCACGAGGGTTTTTCTCTAGGTTCTCTGGTTTTCCTCCCTCCGTAAAATCAACATATGAGTTGAGTTTGTTTGATGTGTTGTTCTCTCCCTTGCCACGAGGGTTTTTCTCCAGGTTTTCTTGTTTTCCACTACCGTAAAGACCAACAGGTGTGTTGTACACTTTAATATTGAACGTAGTGGTATAGTATTGTACAAGTGAGTGAAAGTGGGCCAAATTGGAAATCAAATTATCATCATTAACAATGTGAATGTGAGCTAATCTTAATAAACCTACCTTCCATCCTTTCGTTGACGGATAATCAGCTTTATCAGCAAAATGAGGTACGTTCCCTACAATCCATTCATAAATCTGCTGTAGCGTTGCTCTGTTATTGGGAAACGAACGTATTGCGCTTGCGATAAGATCAGAATACGATTCTCCTCCCCAGGGGTTTTTTCTTGTACTGTTATTATGGGGTTTGTAAACTAGATTTGACTCTTCATTTGTTTTGGGTCTTATTTCGGGGAACTTTTTCACTAGCTCTTGTATTTTTTGAAAGTCTTCTTTATTTTGTCCTCTGGGCTGTTCTTGTGTTATAGCCCTTTGTTGTTGTAAACTTATTATAGATTTTAGTTCTGTGGTCGGCCTGCTGAGGCATGACTCTAGATTGCGATGAGGATAAGTTCTTGCCTGACAATTGATTGAGTTAAGTTGGTCAAGTTTTTTTGGACGTTTTCTTCCCAAATCATCTTCAAACTCTTCAAACTTTCTTTTCCTGGTGAGATCACTCGGCGAATACCTTCTCTCTAACTCCGGTGAATTCAAACCACTTTGTGCAGGTTGTTTGGGAGATTTTTCCTTATCCTTCGACGAACTGTAGCTGCTTTCAGAACCTCCTAAATTTGAAGACTCCTCGTACACTGCTGGATAATGAATTCTAGATTTTGAACTAACTCGTAAATACCAATCAACAGATGGTGGGATTTCGTACATTTTTTTCCTACTCTCTCCAACCCGGCGTCTATTCTGCATATGAACTATAAAGTTACTTACTAAAGCTTCTTGTAAACAGCGATTCTCGAAGCGTATCCTCCCCCGGAAGCAGACATGACGTCACGACCGACGCTTTTACGTGGTGCAAGTTCGCGAAGTACTAGAAGTTGGCTACCATTTATTATACTCTTGTGACGTCGTGGGGTAAGAAAAAAGGAATCATAAAACTAATATAAATCTTTATTTTTAAGAGTTCACTAATGGGATAAAACTGAGAAGATGGTCTTAGTGGTTGTTTGATACAGTATCATAACTCCGATATGCAAATTAGCTTTGACGGAGTGCGTGGATGTTGATGTTGTCATTCAATAACTTTTTCTATTTTTATTTTATTAACTAAGTTATATCCTATAAACAAATTGCTATGTAGTCTTTTACAAGCTAGAAACACTGGCCAAGTACACAAAAGATGAGAAGACTAAGGTCATAAAGCGATATTTTTGAAACCAAGTTCTTAAAGTTAAGCTAAAACTTAAATGAGTACGTAATAATTTATAAAGTTTACTAAAGACTATAATAAACAATAGTAACTACCATTAATTAAATAGTAATACGTCATTGAAATTATTAAAATATTAGCACGTGTACTGTACAGGAAGTAGCCACACAATGTCGTTAATTAAGTGAGTAAAAGCTTTTTTCTGGGTTTCCAATCCAGTTCGACTCTATTTTATATCATTTTGAAAGATTTTTTAATTGGCGCGCACTTGAATAATCCTGACGGAAAATCGATTCTAAAATAGGAATCGAAGTCGCGCTTCCTTGCTCGTCCATGAATATAGTCACAAATTCTGTATTGTTTTCACGACATGATTCAGTAAGTATTCCTTCTAAGCCATGTGCATCAAGTGACGTAAATCATCTAGGTGGGTAAAAAGAAACCTATTTTAAGCCCTACAAACGAGGGCTATAGATCATGTTTTATAACAATATTGTTATGCTGTTTTGCTCGCTAGCTCACTGCTATACAAGTGAATTCTGTTCCGATGCGGTGCCATATGAAATCAATTTTTAGAGTCTTTGAAACTCCTAAACCAACTTGTTTACGTATTGTATACAAACACAACTCTTTGTAGAAATACAGAATACTTTCCTTTACTTTGCATAGTGAATTGCAGCTCGAGTTATCGTGGTAAATTATAACTAGAGTCTATTAGAAGCCAAAACCAGGCTAAACCAACATGTTTTACCTATTGTAACCAACACATCTCTTTTTTGTAGAAATGCAGAATACTTTTCTTTACTTTGCATAGTATATAAATTGCAGCTCGAGTCATTGTGGTAAATTATAACTAGAGTCTTTTAGAAGCCAAAACCAGGCTAAACCAACATGTTTTACATATTGTAATCAATACATCTCTTTTTGTAGAAATACAGAATACTTTTCTTTACTTTGTATAGTGAATTGCAGCTCGAGTCATCGTGGTAAATTATAACGAGGGTCTCTTAGAAGCCAAAACCAGGCTAAACCAGCATGTTTTCCTTATTGTAAGCAAGAAAAGAGAAAAATATGATTATCATGATATGTGATAAATTCATTGTTCAGTAACTTTTAAATTATAATTCGATCTTTTTCGCTCTCTCTTATTCTTTAAGCTCTTCATTTTAAGTTACTCTGTTTCAATCCTTTTTGTCGAAAATAATCAGTTATCTAGTCGAGCCGCTAACACTTAAAAACAACGCTGGCCTCAACACGTGGAAAACGACGGCGTTTCACACGTTATCAAGTTCGTACACTTGTAACGCTCGAGCTACTTGTCGCGCAGTGTATATTAATCTAAAATACGGCGTCTGTTTCCGGATTTATGGTGCACTTGTTCAATATAACTTCCAATCGTACGTCATAAGTTGTCGGCTTTGCTCACGTTCCTCAGTATCTAGCAAGAGACGCTATTTTTTCCTCGTAAACAACTTTTTTCCCTTTTCGCGAGCGTTAGGCCTAAACTTTTAAGGTCGTTCTGGATTAGGGCTTCACGGCAGTAATGTTGTGTTGCAAATCAATAGAAATTGTATTCTTTTGAGGAATAAATTGGGACTTTTTTCACCCAAAAATATTACATTATTTTGAACTCCACTATACAAAATGGCCGCCTTCTCTTTCATTCTGCGCATCTTTGTACCAAGCCTTCTCACTGCCAAAATTCAACCAAAGATAGTAGTCATTTTCACGATGGAATTCGTGGCAGCCAAAACACTTGCAGCAACTATTGGAATAAAAACAGACCTTTTTACCTTAACACCAAAATTTCAAACCCCGCCTTGACATCCCATAATTCAGTAAATAGGAATATTTGGCTGTGTTCTAGATTTCAAAATCCTAAGCCGATAAAGCTGATTTAATTTACCTAGAAGTAATAAATTAAAAGATATTTTTCTACTTCCTTTACTCCTAATTGCAAAAACGTTTTCGAATAAAATTTTTAAAATCACTAAAATAAATAAAGTGTCTCAAAATCAAGCGAACAAACCCCAAAAATTGTCTACCATCTTTTTAATCTCAATCCCTCTTTGTCTTTCTCTATGTCTCTCTCTCTTTTGTTGTCGTTGTTGTCAGTTGTTGTGGTTGTGATTGTTATGGTAGTTGTATTGTTGTCGTTGGTGTTGTTGTTGTGGTTGTGTTTATGTTTGTTTGGTTGTTATGGCTATTACTGTTGTTGTTGATTTTGTTGTTGTTGTTATTGTTGTGGTTGTGGTTGTTGTGGTTGTTGTGGTAGTTGTCGTTGTGGATGTTGTGGTTGTTGTGGTGGTGGTTGTTGTGGTGATGGTGTTGTGGTTTTGTTGTGGTGGCTTTGTGGTGGTGGTGGTTTTGTGATTTTGTAGTTATTGTGGTGGTTGTTGTTGTGGTTGCTGCGGCGCTGGTGTTGTGATTATTGTTTTGGTGGTTTTGTGGTTGTTGTGGGTAAGGTAAGAGGTTTTGCATATAGCTCTCGGTATGATTACCATTATTATCATCTACCCAGTCTTAACAATCAAATCATTTTAATATTTTAACGCTAAACTTACTTCAACAGTAAAGTTGTCCTTGTATTTCAGCACTTTATCCTCCAAATTTGAGTAAGATTTCTGAATTTAAAAGAAAGGGAAAAAGCTGTTTAGCTGAAAATGATTATTTCTTGAATATTATTTGAAGCTTTTGATCCTCTTGTCTGGTGGAAGTCTTATATTACATATTTACTTTCGCATTTACTTGTTTGAATATGCAGG